GCAACACAATTTTGTTCGACTAGTGCCATTAGTGTCAATGAGTGAAACGGAAAAAAGGAATAAGATGATGAAACGAACACACTCAAACGCACACATTCACACACACACACACACACACACACACACACACACACACACACTCACACACATTCTGTGCAACAAAGGTTGTTAATTTTTTCCAGTGGAGGATCAATAAAGTACGATAATAATACATGTGCAGTTTTCTTTTCTTTTCTTATCTCATCTCACCTCACCTCACCTCACCTCACCTTTCCTCACCTCACCTCACCTCACCTCACCTCACCTCACCCCACCTCACCTCACCTCCCCTCACCTTATAAAAGTAAAGCGATCACCTAACTGTTGACGGAGTTAAAATACATTAGTTCCCAAAGAGTGCACATTAATTATTGGTCATTGCAATGACTCATTGTCATTGTTGTTGCATCGGTCGACTGATAGTGATAGTTTTTTTCTTTTACTAACTTTAACATGTCGCTTGTAAACTGTCAAAGAGAAGGGTCGACAACCATTAAGTTACATCGAACGTCACTTGAGAAAAAAAACAAAACAAACAAACATGCATCAGCTAATCATCAACCATTTTCTCTATAACCACGCCTGACACTGACACTGACAAGCCAAGACGGCTTCGTGTCTTTGCTTTGGGCTAATTAGCGTAACACTAATTGAAAATGTCATACCCCCCAATTAACACTTTTTGGGTAATTTAGAATGAGAAGTTGAGCTGCTCGGATCAAGTTTGTCAGGGCCAACCAACCCGGGTTTAAAGTGTCGCAGCATCTGTATAGACTAGTTAATGATAACTAACTTCCACTTGGGAATCAAACACACTTCCTTCTACTCTGCATGTAACTTTGAGTGGAAGAAGCTAATCGTTACACTTCAAACATCGGTGTCTTTTACCCCAAGAACGACAACTCTCACTCTTGTTTTTACGAGTTACAGGAGTTAAAATATTAGGTCTATGTTAATCTTTTTAATTCCAATAAAATAAACAAATAGTCGAATCGCAGGTGGTTGGAGTGCGCCACTGGTATGTCCTAATTCTCTACTTTCCCTCTGTCTTTCTGTTTCTCTGTCTTACTTTTTCCCAATTTTACACTTAATGACTGGTTATTGTGTCATTATTGTGCTTCTCTTCTTGACTGTTGAATCCAACAATCACGATGTTAACATTTCTTTGCGTAGGCCTATGGTATCTTGAAATGAGTTTAAAGTACGGTACACACGAGTGTTTACAATACAAAGACTTATCTGGGGAGTGTAAACCCCCCC